TACTTTATGTCTTAATACCTCTTTTGCGCAATGATGTATTGCTGCTATTTTTGTCTGGAACACTGTCGCGTGTTAACTTAAGCTCAGTGAGATTCTTGTCTTTGGATTAGTACTATATATAAGCCTAGTCCTAAACCTTCATGGATTTTAGAGCCGTCTGAATACCAGATAAATTCTGCGTGAATAGAAGGTCCTCCTGTCCACGCTTTCCTGTCTGGTATATTTACTTTATATTGGTATTAAAGACATTTCGTCTGACGGCATTCTCATTATTTAGTCGTTTTCCATCTCTTTATATAGCTCGCTGTAGTCACGTCCCCGCAAACTGCTTATGGGTGATGGACCTTTGTGCAGTCCATATGTAACAGACCTGGCTTCGCCTTGAAAGAATAAATGTAGTAGTGTTAGGTTTAGTATGACTTCTAGAGCTGCTGTTGTAGTCATTATCATGGCTTCTGTGGTACTCAGGTATGCTTGTCTTTGAATACCGTTGAGCAACCGAATATCTCCAGCTTTCGAACTCTTGGAAAACCATACCACCCGTAGGCATTATGACTCTGGTATATAGCCATATAGACATTTTCGGTTGTGGTCCATAATTTTTTCCACACAACCTTTGACATTTTGGGGCGCGACGACGTTGGCCTCTTTGCGGGCGTTCAATCCAGGTGTCCTCGAAGTAGTCAACAATTGACTGGGCATCCTAGGGTAGCATATTCTCCTGACAAAGGGCTTTTTGGCACAAATGCCAACGCTTGCAATAATTTAAGTTTTAATGCAAATTCTGCATCGGTTTCGTACTGGTTTTTTAGTTCGTCTGCTTGGATCTTTCTAAAGATGCACTGGGAGAAATGGAAAAAGCATCCACGATATTTTGAAGCTGAAAATTCTTCGGTAAAAGCATTTATCATTCCAGTTTCGAAATCTGTGAGGATGATACTTGGTGACACACCAGGCATACATTATTTTAACTTTTGCAGCAAGCGAATATATTAATTTTTTGTTTCATCTGGTAACAGCACATACACCAATAGAACTGAAATATGTTATTTTAAGCCAAGTAGCGTAAACAGTTAATAAAACAAGTGTGGTACTGTTTTAAATGTTCCATCAGCGTACCAATGTTTGCTTTGAGCTAAGAGTGAAATATTTTTTCTCGTACTAAAAATCAGTATTCTGTTGTCATTTGGTCCAGAATGGTAAAGCAAAATGGATTCTTCATTTTGGGCCATTGTGTATTCTGCGGGAAATGCGATATCTCGTCGATGAAGTGGCAAAGCTGGAGCAGCTTCTGCCATTCTACGAACGTTATTTATTGTTCGTTTTATGCTAGAAACTTTCGGTAAAGTGGCTGCAGTTGGCTGGCTAAGACCAATACATTCAGTAGAGATAACACTATGTGCTTGGGTAGTTCTTGCGTTTTTACGTACCCTATTAAAAAATTTGGTTTTTTCTACTTCTCTGACACCGGCAGTGTGGTTATACTCTCCAGTTTTTTTAAGAACTTTATTTCTAAGCATTGTAACTCGAGCATTGCACTTTATTTTACTATAATAGTCACATTTCCTAAAAGTGTTTCCATCTCCTTTGTCTTTTTAATATAAATATCCATCAAACAATAACTTTTTCTTTATTTTTTCACTAAGAACAAATCCAGCAGCCATTTCACAATTTTAACAGTTACACAAGTTTTTAGACATAAAAAATTTAAAGAAATGTGCATCCTTTTTTACCTTTTAAAATTTAAACAGTCAACAATTTTAACAACCTACATTTAGTTAAGACCTTGTTTATTAAAATTAAATTAATATAAACGTTTATGGTCAATATATTTGATCGATTATTATCCTTTTAGCAATGACCATTAATGTCCCATTCGAAGAATTTTTAAGGTACAGTCAACAATTTTGCTGTATTAATATCCTGTTAACAATGACCATTAATGTCCTATTCGAATAATTTTAGTTATTTATAAAAGACCTTAATATGTAAAGTACATTAATATCCTGCGTCGGATCAGCCCCTCAACTTTATTTAGGTATTTATAGAAAACCTTCAATTTGCAATATAAATATAATTGCAAGATCAAATTAATTGTCTTTAGAAAATAGTAGTAGTTTCTAAAAATATAATTTGTGGTACTACTTCTATATATTCAATTCTTCAATATTTGACAATCTAAAATCTTAAAATTTGATGACATTTGATATAATATATTTTAGCATTTTCCAAAGGAATATTTTTTGTGGTAAAATGTATTGCCGGGAAATTTTCCAGTCAAGGAATTGTTTGTCGGGGAATTTTCCCATCAGGAAATGTTCCAGTAAAAATCTCTGCCACTGGCAGGATTCGAACGGGACCCTTGAATACGAAAGTACTCTAAATACCTACTGAGCCACCCATCACCTATGATCTTTAGTTGTGGTTTGATTCTTTGTTTGTGCTGTTTTCGTAATTATTAATATTAGATTGTTTGTTAGAAATATTTAACTATGTATACATATACATCCAGGCAGCTGGTGGAAATCGATTTGTTCAACAACAAAGTTAAGCAAAGTACCTACCTGTACCTAGCTGTATCTAGCTGCCACAGAACGAAGCTTATCAACACATGGAAATGTCCATACAAATAAAAGAAATCGACTACCAAATGAAAAGGCACAAAAAAATTGTTTATATCAGACAAAATTTAAATATAGCGGAATGTTCATCCGGTTCATTACAATCTTCTTTGGAGTCTGAATCTGAATATGAATCCGACTGGTCTGAAGTAGGTAGCGAAAATGAACTAGATAAAATAGTTGATTTAGAGATCTCATTTAATTGTGAAATGCCAATGTAACATGCATAATATAATTAATAAAACATATATAATTCTTATAAAATTAAAATAAATTTTTCCTATACAAAGTACAAGGAACTTAAGTTTTTTTAGATTAAGCACCTGCACAAATAATAAAATTTTATTTGATGTTCTGTTTTGTTTTCTTTCGCGTTTTGTATTACTTAAACCTGAATTTAAATTATATTTAGTAACAAATGATTAGTTTTATTTAAAAACAAATAAAACAATTCTATGTTCGACACAGACACTTACTTACCTTAATTTCATTTCGAAGTCATTATTAGTCATGTGTATGTGTATAGAATATATTACGGTCAATTACCACAGTAATTTACTACACAAATTTATTACCAGGGTAATTAATTTTGGTAATTAAAACTCGTAAATTACCACCGTAAATTACAAAAAATATAAATTACGGTAATTTTACATCACTGGGTAACACACTTAATAATACGTACAGTTTTTGATCCCGATAGAGGGCGAAAAAATTTAAGTAATGCAATGTACAGACATTTCTGAATCCATTATTAAATTACCATTTTAATGATGTGCCATACACGGTACATTACCTATTTAAAAATTAGGTGATGGAGAAGTGCAAGGGAGGGGTTGACACATGACAGATGTCTGTATTGTAAAAATGTGTTCAATTTGGAATATATATCGACCTATTTTAGCATTTTTTTAAAATCCAATGATTAATGCCGAAAAACAGGATGAAACTGTTTTAAGTGACCTACTCTGTATATCAAAAATGGCTAGATTTATCGACTTAGTTCATTGAATAAAATCGGATTATAAATGCATTTTTCACAAAATGCGCTACACAAGAAAGATCCTCCCATCGAAAAAAAATTAATAAGCGCAGCGCCATCTACATATTGACCTATTTAAAATCAATTTATATCTAAAACTGAAGTTCTTTTAGTGCTCTGTGAAATGGCATTTACAGAATTAAAATATCTTTATTTTTTACCAAAATATCTGGCCTGGGAATTTTATAGGTACACCCTGTATACAGGATTTTAATAAATGTTAAACGTCTTCTATTTGAAATATATTGTTTTAAGCTTAAAACACAAATTAGATCAATAGAATTGAATTCTCAGTGATAAGGGGGAAACCTTAGTAACGTAATACCACGATCACGAGCCATTGTGTCAACAACATATTGAATATATGTATGGTATTGTTCCTTTATAAGTTCCATTAATTTCACTTCAAGCATCTGCTTAGTAAATGTTATTGTTTTATCCCAAAGCCAGCTTTTTATAACCGCTTTTCTACTATACATGATTGGAATGAGTTCAACTCGCGCTGCGATAAGAAGCGTTATCTAGTACAATAACTAAATTTGGTTCTACAAGCTGTAACACTTTAGTAAGCTCGTTTTAAAGCATTCTGCATACATGTCTTCGTAGTAGTCTGCTGTTTTTTGTATATAAATACAATAGCACTGTTTTTCAAAAAGTTACTGTCACTGATGGTGCTTTTAAACCTGTAGATAATCCCTCCATAAAAGCTTGACAATAATAATTCATCCACTTACGAGTAAATTTCAACCACTGAAGCCGAGTAAGCTTGTGTGGAAAAGGGACGCCCATTATTATTATTTGTAGCTAAAAACCTTTTACCTAAATGAGGAATGACTCGAAACAGTTAAAGATACCAAAATTTGTTCAGTCACATCTTGCCAAAGGTTAACTTAGCAACAATAGAATAGCAATAATACATAGCACATAATATAATGAGTAAAGAGTGAAGTGGGAAAAACGGTTAAGATCCGAAAAACTGAAATACAATTTTTGGAAATATGAAAATAAAAACGCTTTGTTTTCACTTTTAAATTTTCTTAGGGGAAATTAACAATTTTTATTCTTATATTTTCAAAAATTACATTTCAGTTTTTTTTTACCTTAACCAGTTTTCTCACTTCACTTTTCTTTTTATAATACCAAGTTTACGGCGGGCCGTACTTGAAAACTTAACACTGGTGAACGAATGAAGGTTCTTAGAAATTTGTTCTATTATAATCATATAGATTATCGTCTTTCTACACCATGTCACAATCGTAATATTAAAAACAAAACAACTTTATGAAACTCACTGTATAAAGAGTAGTCAGCCTAGAGCCCTATTACATATACTTTACCTGCGCTGGCATTTTGTCCAAAAACTGCAACAACACAAAATTGACATCGTTAATGAATTGATGAGCCTGTCGTATGATCGAATGCAGTGAAGTTTGCGACGTAACCAAGAGCTGCGTCAACCAAGTTTCGACGCTACCTTCAGCCCTCACAGCCTTTTCCAGTGGTATCGCCTCTCCCTCGGACGAAATGATGGCCATTATCTTATTGTACTCAATGTCGTGGAACTTTACGTATCTGGTATTGTCGAAAATAGACAGCAAGTGATTTTGGATGGTGTGTGAATCGGAAGCTTGGCCCAGGATTTCCAGAAGAGCCGGATCTGATACGAAGAAGAATCTTGGGAACATCATACGTTTTCTTTCTAGGTATCCGCTTAGTGATTTCTGACATAACTCTAACTGCTCTTGAAGATGTGGTAAGAGTTGTTTTAATAGATCGTCTCCTAAAAATAAATATAAATAAAGTAGAATGATATAGCACAATATTTCGAAAATATCTAATGCCATACAATGACACTTCTTCATCAAAATTATAACACGTAATTTCAAGAACAAATAAAGTAAAAGCAATAAATATATGAGAAGTTTAACTTACCCACGCAACAAGCCACAACTCCTGGTGTTTCATGGGCACGTTGCATAATTTTCTGCCAGGATTTGTCTATTTTTGAAAACCTTTTCGCTTCTTTAGGCAGCTGTTTAGCTATATCTCCACCAACGAAGACAGCTTCCAAGTACACCCACATGTTTTGCACAAGCAACCATCTTTCTAGGATTTCGTTGGTGTTAGACAAATCATGGACCCACGTTTGGATTTGTTTTTTGAAGGGCGCATTGTATCTAACATGAAAGAAAGCTTTATTGTATGTACACAGAGCTAGTTTATTTATTTTTATTCACCTGTTGGACAATAATGACCCTAGAATCATTAGACTGTCTTCCAGCTGTCCAATTGTCTCCGCTGTTGTATCTCCTCTGAGCAACAGTTCCCCTCTATTGTTGAATGTCATGAAAGTTAATTCGTGTACCGTCCATTCATTCGTCACTTGTCGAAGTTTAGCTTCAATGTCCTTTTCTTTCATTGCCGATATACAAATATCCTAAAATAAAGGCATTTCTTAGTCTTAAAGGTCCTTCTAAAACAACTCGTAACTTACCTCAATATCTTCCTTATGCTGTAGCAACGGAGCCTCCAGAATATTCTTTAGACAAAAACCTTCGCTTTCGAATTCGAAAATGTGGTTCAAAGAGTCCATGATCCTCTGCCAATGTCTAGGCTTCATTGCTCTGTTTGCCATCAATTCCAGCAAAGGACACATATCGTTGAAGTCGTCGATAGTTTTCTTTAAGGCGAAGAAAGCTGGCCATTCTTTTAAGCCTTTTTAAATGAAACAGAAACATATATAACAATCAAATAAGTGTAACGTTAAAAGCGGTATATCACCAGAGACACTGTACTAGCTAGTCTTCTATTACTACATAATGGATGGTCTAAATAAAACCAAGTATTTGGTAAAACTAGACTATTTATAAGCAAATACTAGATTTGCAGTGAATAAACTTAGTTTGCATGTGCTAGGGCTAGATAGTTCTAGATGTTTCCTCATGTCTAGCTTTTGCTTAAATATTGAGGTGGATAAAAACTTCGGCTGGTTTTTTTCTATAGCTTTTGCTAAGAGATCTGTAACTGTGGTCGGGGGCACACTTAACTTTGTCTAGATTTTTCTACGATAACAGTTTCAAATTAGTGGTTTGTTTTCAAAAATAGCGGAATTTATGCCCATCCGTATCGGACTGCGCAACTATAAAGAACTCTTTAGATTTGAAAGTCGGAGTATAGACTTTTTAGCGGCTGAATTCCTTCTCGAAACCGACACACGTGGTGGAAGTATTTCTCGAAGGCAACAAATAGAAATATTTTTGAGGTTTGTGAGCGACCCTGGTTTTCAATCGGGTATAGGAGAAGACAAACGCGCTGTTATGATGCAATTACTCAATATACCATAAACAGTCAACATAAATAGTTTCGACATGAAAGTTTTGAGTATGCTATCCTTTTTGTAAACTTTGTGCTATTCGTATTATTTGTGTAAAATTAACAGTTACATTTTTAGACACACTATATACACATACAGTATAGAAAAGCCAAATGGAATAAATTCATTTTTATATAAACAAAAAATCGAATATGTTTTGTGGGTTTTCATTTTTTAGTCCATAGTTTCTTGACTTTTGTAATTTGCTACCATCTTTGTGCTTTTCCTTATTTATTGTTTCATACGATCAGCACCTTTATGTATCGATTTACTTGTAGAGACAATCGTATCCATTTTTAGATTTTGCTCACTATCGTGCACAATATTGTTTCCTGCAGTGGATAGGCCAGTGCCAATCCAAATATTTCCTGGGATTTTGTGATATACTGGATTGTCTTGGTCTATTAGTTGTAGGAACTAATTTTTCCATTTTTTTAATTTAATGGGCTTATTTCCGGTAGCTTTTACATCTGTCTTCTTTTTAATGGTAGTTTTTATGTTTTGCAATACTTTTTTTAGTTGTATTACAGTGAATAGTTTCCCGATTGAAGACGAATACTCAGCAATGAGATTAGACCATGCTTCTTAGATTTCATCACGGGCGGTGTTTTTAATTTATCCAGTAATATATTGTGGTCTTTTAACAATCTTACAATGAGCGATCAATCTTTTTGTCGTCTTTCTCGTCGTTACTATCACGGTCGTCCTCTAAGGATGCCATCGTAGTAAAAGTGATAATAGTGATATAACAGTAACGATATATGTAGATACAACAGTAACACTGACCAACAAAACACATACTTCACTGACCTGTCGTGACAGGAGCGGAGTGCATGAAATCGAGACGTGACGTGAACCTAGTAAGTGCTTATAGGTTAGCATATGCTACCCGTAGCTCTTGTTTACACTTTTCCGGATAGCACTAGCTTTGGTGTAGTGTTTTCCCAGATTTTAAGACTTTTTTATTCACTTCGATAATAAATAAACACTTAACTGCCTAGTATGCTTAATTAGCAAATGCTTGCTTTTATCCACACCATCCAATGAATGCCAATTCAGACTCAAAGTTCATTTTTTGTATTATAAAAATAATATTACCACTCACCTTTAGGCAATTTTCTACACCTATTTTGAAACTCCATTAATTCGTTATTAATTTCTTCGATATTCACTTCACCCCAAGGTATATCATAGTAGCTGTTCACCCGATCGATGACATCGTTGTAGAGTTTGTACAGTTTCTGAAGAAGGTTCAGTTCTTTTCTGATTTGAGCCATATCAGGGTAATCGGTTTGTGGAAGCCCAAATAGTTCTTCGCCGCTTTGGTAAGTTTGCAGTTTGCGCCACATACCATCGAAACGGTTCTAGATAATGGAAATTAAAGACAAAAAGTTCCTAAATAAATAAATCGACCTCTCGTATTGCTTATCATTATATATGTTATTTTAAACATTCTTTACACTTCCAGACTCAAAATGACAAGATATTTTTACTTTTAGTTTTTATGTACGAACCTGGAATAGGATGAGTCTATCTGAAGCTTCCCTTGGGGTTAACCCAGGCTGCATCGGTCCAGCGTTCCTGTACTCATTGCAGTAATCGAGCTTGTCCTGTTTAAATTTGCTTAAGTTGTTTTTAAGATCTAGTTGGAAAACCGGTTGCATGTCAAGAAGATTCATTTGGACTTTCATGGCACGGTCGAGCAGTTGCTTCCAAGTGTACCGCAAGTTGTCTACTTGCTCTATCACTTCTCTCTCCACTGGTACACTGTATCTATGTAGAACGTTAAACGCTTCCTGCGAAAATATAAGTGAAACTGCATTTTTGAATTTAAATAAGTATTTAATAAGACCAAAAACTATATAAAAAAATTATATTTGTTGAATGATTGAATGAAAACTGATACACTACCTCTACAGGTTCTATTTTCAAGTCCATGTCAACTTCTTGTTCCCTTATTTTTTTTAAAGTGTCCATTATCAGCCTGACGTCGTCCAAATCTCTTATCGTCCTTTCGAGTTTTCTGTCCATTTCACTTATAACGGCGTACACGTAATCCATTTCTCGGCGATATTTTTTCTTCATCGCCTGTCCGATTCTGGAAAAGCACAATAAAAATAAAAACTTCATAAAGTGTTTGAAATGTATAGCATTTAGAAATGCAGTTTAAAATACAGGATGTCCCCGAAAATAATGCATTCTTTAAAGGCTTTTAACTGGGATATGGACATACGTTAACTGTCTAAATTACGGTATAGAAGACCTTGGTATACAGGGTTTCCCTAATCTCTGACAAAGTTATAATATAAAAAAACGTATAAATATAAATCATATTCAATTCCAATTTCTAATCTTATTTGTTGAATGTGTAAATTTTGAATTATAAATACATTTCAAAAAATAAGGGGTTGCTTTAATCCCAGCGCTGTCACCAATGTAATCACCAGTCTCAAACTCTTGGAGTCCTGAAAGAACTCCTTGTTTTGAAAAGGAGAGTCGAGTGGTGAGTAAATAAGTGGGTTAGACAATCGAATCACAAAAAATTATAGTAAACAATAAGCAAATTTATATCTAGAACAACCACAAAATGATAGTCCCGTGAGAGTTTTATACAGCCCCGTTTTTAGTTTATTTATTATTTATTAAAAATGCTTTGCATTTTTAACATCAAAGAGCGAAAACTCTTTTAATGTATACCTACCTATGAGTACAAGACTTTATCTCCGTCAATAGGCCATATTTCAGATTTTCTGTCGAAATTGCTAAGCAGTTGGCGATGACAAACACATCCGGTTCCGTTTCTAAACGCTCAGTAAGTTCTTCGTGTTTTCTCAAAGAAGTTTCGAATTCGGTCAAGACGGCATTCAGTAATTCACGTTGGGTCTTCTCGTTTCTCCAGAGAATGTTGTAGGGACGCCATCTCGTCATGAATTGGGTCATGTCCTAAAAAAAAATTATGAAAAAAGACCATCAGAGAGACAATTCTAAAAAGTAATTGACAAGGTAGGTATGATATAATTTAGTCAACCTGGAAAATTTGAAAGTTTTAATACTAGTATAATGAAAGCTTATATTATTAGTACCGTTTAAAAGAAGTATTCATACCCAAACCTGGAAGGATGGATTACACTTTTCCAAAAACATACCGACCAATTAGTCTGACATCGTTTTCTATGAAGACATTGAATATGCTATACGAAAGGTACATAAGGGATGCGGGGATTACAACACCACTACACCCAAATCAACATGAATACACCCCAGGCAGATCCACTGATTCAGTCCTTTATCTAGTTGATAGCCGGATATAGAGATCCCTGGACAATAAGGAGTCCGCCTTGGGTGTTTTCATAGACATAGAAAGTGATTTTGATAAAACCACCTTCCCAAGATAATACACTCACTAACCAACAAAAATGTTCCACATATGGTTTGTGGGTGGATACATAACATGCTCTAAAAGCGAGCAGTAAATATAAGTGTAGAAGATGTGAATATAAGAGGCTTGGTTGCGAGGGTATGTCAACAGGGAGAGGTGCTATCACCTCTACTGTGGATCATGGTCCTCGACATCCTCATCAGCCGCCTCAATAATGGCAGTCACTACACAATATCATATGCAGATGACCTGGTCATTAGGGTGGGCTGAAAGAATTTTTTTTAATTTAATTTAGAGGTAGCAAAATAAACTTACCTTTTGTGTTTTAAATTACACTCTAAAAATCTGGATTATTTATTTTTTCTTTAGAGCCCCCCTTTGAGCCCAAAATAAGAAAAAAAAATTAAAGAACTAAATAACTTGAGGTACCCCAAAAAAGTTAACTAGTACATTTATTATGAACCCAAAAAAATCTTGGTTGCCCAAGTTAATATTTAAGCCCTCCCCAGGGCCCAAAACTTCCTTATTTTATAATTTTTATAACACAATAATACCTATTTAAATTTTGAAATAATGATATTATTTTTTTTAGAAAATCATATTTTATTTATCATCAGCTATTGTTCTATTTAATAGACGCTGATTGAGGCCCTGTATCGTCGATGCATCCTTGCATTGCTTGCGCGTGCGCGGCAACGTTTCCTTATGGTTTACATTCTACTCCTCTCTCTGGCGCCAATCGAATCGACACTATACCAATCGCGAGTTAACTACAGAGAAGTACGTTTGCCTGTAATTCAGTTTTAAATGTTTTTTCATATGGTTGTAGTGGTAGTGTGATCAACGTACTAAAATAATAATTAGGATATCTATTAAAACATTAGAGTATACTTTAGACGTTTTATGATATTATTGTAAAAGCACAAGTAATGGCAAAAAGTGCAGTACAGACTCGTAAAACTTCAAGTGTAGCTCTTTTTGGTACAGAAAAAGACATTGATTCAGCTAATGCTATAACGCTTCCTACTTATGCAGATGTTATTCGCTGTTGTCAAAGCGTGAGATTAAAGCAAAAATATGAAGGTATCAAACAGCCTTCTAAATTTTGTATAGCTGCAGTCGTCGCTGAAAAGGTAGAAACAGTTTGGAAACGTGCATCACTTCCTTTTTTGTCAAAAAAATGAATAGTTGATATGATTGTGGCATATCATAAAAAATATCAGAATATCGTAAAACCCATTAATAATAGAAGCAGCACGCACTTAAGTTCAAAATTAAATGTGTTTAAGAATGACTCAGGAAAACTTTTTGATATTTTTACCTGCAAGTGCAAAGACATGAATGTGTGTAAATGTGAAAAAACGAGGAAAATACCTGAAAGGGAATTGAATTTTCTAATCGACCAACGAACTATGCGACAAATGATTATTGGACGCGTTGATAAACATCTAAAAAATTGACAGAGCAACAATACAGAAAAGAAAAGCAGAAAAGTAAAACAAATAATAAAACATATGAAGCCGTAGCAAGCACTAGTGGCTTGCAGAAAAGCTCAAAACATTGTTTAAAATGAAATGTGTTTATCTTCTAGTGATAACTCAGAGGAAATGGACGAAGATTATAAATAAGAAGAAGAAGAAGAAGAAGATACATGGAGCTACGATCTATTAAAAAATTGAAAAATAAAACAAACTAAATTAAATGTAGCCCACATGAGAATCCCCTTATTTCATACAGCTAAAGCCGCGGATTTAACTGGAATTTCAAATCGATCTGCTGCAAAAATAGCAACTGCTGTTTTGGAAGACATGAAAATAGTTTCCAATAAAAAAAGAGCACAAGTTGTTGACAAGAATAAAATTAGAAGGGCATTATTTAAAATTAGAAATTATTTAAAAAGCAAATGGCACAACGATAACAAGAACAAAGATCTTGATGCAATATACTTTGATGGGCGCAAAGACCAAACGATCGTTGACTTAAACTGCCATCGAATCAAAAAACTTCAGGAGCACATTTCATTAATTCAAGAACCAGGTAGTCGGTATTTTGGTCACATATCCCTTACTACATCGTCTAAGGCAACTGATATTGCAAGAGGCATATTATCCTTTTTAAACCAAAATGAAGTTGATATGACAAATATTAAGGTTATCGATTGCGACGGCACTAATTGTAACATAGGCTGGAAAGGAGGTGTTATATCTCTTGTGGAAACTCAGTTAGGTATAAATTACTTGGGTTACTTAATATAAACAAAATAATAATATATATACTTTTTTATTTAGGTAAACCTTTGTAGTGAGCTGAATGCTACTTACACGCAAACGAGCTTCCCTTAAGGCATCTCTTACAAAAACTAGACGGGCATAACAAAGGCCCGTATCAATACTCAGGAGAAATTGGTTCCTTACTTGGAAATTGCGATTTACGATTTACCTGATACAAACTACAAAGACTTAAGCACGGATCAGCAGTATTTATATAGAATCTGTCAGGCTGTTTTAGATGGTATCTGCCCCGCAGATCTTGCACAAACAATTCCAGGAAAAATGTCTCGTTCTCGGTGGTTGACTACCGCCAATCGTGTCCTGAGATTATATGTTTCAGTAAGTGAACCATCCAATAACCTTAAACTACTTGCAAAATTTATTGTGAAAGTTTATTCAACAATGTGGTTTGTAACAAAGACAAAACCATATTTACAATTTGGTTCTCGGCATTTGTGGCAAACGATTTATCTTTCACGGCAATTTCCTGAAACAATAACAGCCGTTGTTGATAAAGCCATTTTAAATAATGCATTTTACGCACATCCTGAAAATATTTGAATTGTCATGTTAGTCGATGAAAGAAAACATAAGAGAACTAGCAGTAAGACGGATTTTAAAAGCTAGAAATAACAAACCAGAAGGTGTTCGAGTTTTTAGAATGCCGAGCTTAAACTTTGAGGCTCTAGACTATATTGATTTAATTAAATGGGCAGAATGTACAATTACAGAACCTCCTTTAACGACTGGACTAACACATGGAGAACTAGAAAGATTCATAAGCAAAGCAAACGAATTCTCCACAAGGTTTGGCAAATTTCCATGTCACACACAAGCAGTAGAAAGGTGCGTAAAGCTTGTAACAGAAGCTGCATTAAAAGTTTGCAATGAGGAAGCAAGACATGGTTATATAGTAGCAAAATTAGATGCGAGGAAATCTTTACCAGCGTATGACAACAAGGGTCAATATTATAAATAAAAATGTAATACGAATAATATAATAATTATAATATTTGGGTATGAAATAAAGTAAAATTCTTATTTTTTTAATTTTTACTTTTCTATGAGTGACTTAAAAAATAAAATAAAATATTTAATCAATACACACATTTTGTTTTCCTAGTATTTATAAGAAAACTTTTGTTGATTTGTGGCCCTTGTGGCTCCCAATTTGGGGCCCTTGGGGCTTCCTTACATATTAGGCTACTACGGTTATGTTTTTTCCTAGAATTTTTTGTTGTTACCCCACTCAAAATATATATATAAAAAAGATTGGGGTCTCTGGGGCCCTCTTAAATATTGGGCAAGTACGCTATATTTTTTCTACAAATTCCTTTTGACATAGGGCTAATTTTTATTGGTACCCTCAAGTAAATATAATATATAGATTTTTTTGCAATTTTCGGCCCACCCTACTGGTCATTCTGCAAATAGGGAATTTTGAAAATATACTTTATGTAAGAATGCAAGTAGCTCTCAGAATTATAGAACAGTTGTGTAAAGACCATTCACTGTCTATCAATTCTAAGAAGACTGAAATGGTCTTTTTCACAAGGAAAATGATGAAAATGGAATTAAAACCTCCAGAACTCCTAAACACAAAACTAAACTTTGCAACACGGGTGAAGTACTTAGGTCTCACCTTTGACACCAAGTTAACATAGAAATCGCATTTAGAAAATAGAGTCAAAAGAGCATATGTTGCTTATGAAAAATGCTGCCGAACCGTGGGGCAAACCTGGGGTTTTTTCTCTACACTGCTATCATCGTATCTATGCTAACATACGGTCCAGTTGTCTGGGTACCGAAAATTTAAAAATTGACAGCTATCCGTAAACTAGAACAAATTCAAAGAACAGCATGTCTCAACATAACAGGAGCCATGAAAGTAACACCGACCAGAGCCATGAAAGTCATTTTTAGTCTCACTCCCCTTGATATTTACATCAAGAAGGTTGCTCTGACGACAATGACACGCCTCTACACGGTTGGAATAGAACCTAATATAGGATCTGGTGAGGCGAGACTTGGCTTTTGGCAGGAGGCGCTCCCACTGCTTCAAGTGAACATGGACTCCATTTGACCAAGATATATCTTCCATAAGCCATATAAAGTTACAACAACAAATAGAAGAGCCGGAAGTGATAGGTACGATTCATATCTACAGCTACACCGACGGTTAAATCTTAACATAAAATGAGCTGTGAGCAATAATAGTGCCAGTGTAGTTCAAATAGAGCTTACGGGTATTCTCATAGCAGCAAAAAATTAACAGAAACAAAATCACTGAAAGAAATATGCTCATCTATACAGATAGCAGATAAGCACTACTCACCCTGAACAAACCATGAGGGTTAGTACTAGAATGTCACTAAGTTTTGGCCGAAGTATCCATCAACAAGGTAGTCACTTTAAGATGGATCAAAGGTCACGCCACATCGAAAGGTAACCGTCTTGTTGATTCACTGGCCAAGAAAGCAGCCAACCAAATACTTTTAGGATCTGGCTCTTCTATTGGCCTGACAAAATCGGTAGTGACAGACCTATTTAAAGAACATTCCCTTGTGAAATGCAAGGAAAGATGAGATGAAATAAGAAACTGCAGAAATGCCCGGAAGCTTTTAAGTTATCCTGACAACACTGCAGCAAACAAATACTTGACTATGACTAGACAGAATCTGCGCCTAGTCACAGGCATTCTGACTGGTCAATGCCAAGTACGGAAGCATCTTCATATTATGAAGCTGTCAGAATACGCCCTTTACAGAGGGTGCGAACAAGAAGATGAAACCATCGAGCATATATTCTACGATTGCTCGATGCTTTCATTTATTAGATTTGTGTTCGGCGAGTATCGGCTAACACCGATCTATATAAGAGAGCACCTCTTGGCGACGTTGTCAACTACATTAAATATGTAGGCTGGGTCACGAGCTAGGGGGTGCCTATCATCTTAGGAAGAAGTTTGACAAAGAAACTTCCAAATCTCTGAATAACAAAGTCATTCGAGGCAGACGAATCTTAATAATAGGAGACTATAGAGTGAAATTTGAGTTATAACTATCATAACTTATTCCAACATTCAAGGATTTCATAATTTCAAAGTTTTTTCCGAATATACTACATTTGCTAATTTGTTCTATTCAAAATTTGTTTAGTAATTTTTATAAAATTAATTCTAATAGTAAATATCTGCTAAAGAACGGCGGTTTAGCGATACCATATGGTACTACTGGACGCTAATGGAAAATAAGGACTTTAAAATGTAATTTTCATTGCACTGAAGCTTCAAGCGTATTTCACTCTTGTCAGTTTCTATGACATTAGGTTATACCCGAAATTCCTCTTCTGATTTCATTTTAAGTTTTTTCTATGGTATAGTATATGAATAAAAATGTGTTTCTTCCTACATAGGGAATCTAAGACTGCAGTGTCCCAATAAAGAGTCTGACTTGTTCCTGGGGGTCGATTCTCGACTCGTAAGAATATTTTCCTATAGGAATTTTTGACATTTTTATATACATCGAAAATTTATGATATTTTCCTACATATAGAAAAGTGTCACAAATTCGTATAGGAAAAAGTTCCTACAAGTCGAGAATCAACCCCCTAGTGAGGTTTAGCAGTTTTGGACAGCCCTTTTTTAAATTCTTTAGAACGTTGATATATAATTAAAATGGTTTTGGACATTTACTTAATATACTTATTACTACGAAATTTAAAACCTTACAAACTATAATACCTGTCTCTTACCTGTTTCATATCTTGCATACAAGTAGACAGCAACGACAAAGTCTTCACCACCTCTTTGTTTTCCATGACGTGATTGTAAAAATTCCTCTGCTGTATAGGAATGGTAGGCTTCTCTTCGGTCATCAACCTGTAGAGCTTTCGTCGTTTCATCTTCATTTCCTCCTCCTTGGTCTTTATGGGACCTTTGATGACCTTTTGTTGGTCGAAGCGTGAACGGTTCACAATGTCCATTAAATTAGATTTGGGGTAGGCTAATTTTTTCCAAGCTGACTTCTTCGGCGAAGATGTCTTAATGTACAAAGCCGCATGCCCGGGAGTTGCGAGGTTGGGGTTATGTTTTGATTGGTGAGAAGGTTTGGGTGTATGGCAGTGTACGCGGAATACGTAAAGATTGTGATTCGTGTGAGTACATTTATATTTTGTGAAAGTGGCGTTTCAATAATACAGTGTTAGAAGTAATTTAAGTGTTTGAATGGAAGAGAAAAATAAGAAGAGATTAATAAGAAGTATGTACACAGACATTTTTACGTTTCTTGTTTCCTATTTAATGCTCGAGGTTATTGAAAACAAACTTATTATAAATTCATATTAAAAATGTAAATTGGAAACAAAAAACGTTTATATAAAATAAAAAGTTTTTTTATTAATATTTACACATTTTTGAAATGTCGTTTTAAAATAAACTTTAAACCAATAAAATATCAACGTCTTTATTTCGAAAAAAGCTATTTTGAGCGAAGATGTTATTTCTCTATCCTTCACAAAAGGTGTTTTGCATTCTAATTGGTCCAAAACTACTAAATAAGTAGGAAGTGGAGTATAAGTAGAATACACCTTGTGGAAAAAGAAGAGGACATGGCGATGGCATACAAGCTGTTTGTTTCCAAATTTGTTTTTGAATAGAACTTTCAAGAAATGGTTACCATATAATGATGATATTAAAATAAATTTAAACAAAATACAGTGTTTATAATGACCTCGGATATTATTCATGACCTCATAAAACTTTTCGATGTTAAAAAACCAGAAAGGGCCAAAAATCCGGGTAGATAGAAAAAACAAAACGAATTAATCTAGTATATACATAATTCGAAGATACAACAGTCTTACAGAATAAAGTAACTGTAATTAAACCCTAGGTCCAGACCATGCTAAATAATTCAATTAAAGGTATGAAAGTCTTTATCATGACATGTAGCCAGACAACCCTTAAGGCACTGAAGAAGGTAGAAGTACAATCCAAAGTAAGACTGAACTACGAACAGTCCCTCCAGATCCTAGCAGAACCTAATATGTTTACTTTTGAAAGGGCGCTGGGATATAGAGGAAAGTGTTCCACAATGGGACATAAATTACGTTTCGGTAAGTTGTCAGAGGTTATGATTGAATTTTGTCATTTTGTTGTTTCATGCACATAGATTGACATATTTCTCTTCATTTAACGCAATAAGTTTATCAATATATCGATTTAAAAAATAAATAGCGATTTTTTTTAAATCGTGATTTTTGTCTCATTGTGGAACAATATGTTTCCACTATGAGACAGAACTTTTTAGACCAAAAAACAATACAAAAAATATGAAAAAAAATATATATAATAAAGGAAAATGAACATTCTTTTGAAAAAAACAGTATCCAAAAAACTTGTTTTGCTAGATAGGACAACATAAAATATAAATCCAACAAGTAAAAAATAAAATAAAATCTAGATCCTGTTGCCTCTTAGTTTTCCAGTCGTTAAATATTTGGAAAGTATTATTTTGATGTTTTTTTTTTTGATCATACTTATATCTTCTGTTACGGGGTGGAAAAAACAGTTGTTAGACTTGTTACTTTTACGAAAAAATCAAATTTTAAATTCATCTTCTTTTTTATTTAAAATTTTTCCGACATAAAAGATAACAGTTTTTAATTCATTAAATTGAACTTAAACGTAGTTCCCAGCGATTGGTTGTCGCTCCAGTGCAAGAAAGTTGTCTTTATCCAAGCTGTCACTAGCATCACTAGCTATCATTAGCATCTTCAGAGGGGCCTCTAGTATCTTCCTGATAGGATTGCCTATCAGACTCTTCACTAGAAGATTCTTTAAACACTCTGCTCTTGACGTCATTTAATTTTCCCTGCTTTTTTCTCATTTATAATTCCACCTGCCTCACTTTCTCCTTGGATTTTGATTTTATTTCATTGAGTTCTGGCGTGTCTGTAGCTATAATACTCTTCTTTTTTCTAGCCCTGTTCTTTTGTTTTAATTCTGGTGCTTTCGGATAGCCTTTGAATACTGCCGGCGATATAAATTTTTCAATAATATTAGTTCCTTTGGTGAGTTGATTCTTGAATATCAGTTTTACAGGTTTCAATTGTTGTGCCATTGCAATCCTGATTATCAGCCGTATGGGTTTCAAATGTTTCGTCTCCGCAATCCCCAGTAATGTGATGCTCAGGTGGACCAGCAATTTCATCAGCTGGCTGGCATCGGTCAGTGACCCTGCTAGCAATATAATCGTCGTCCGTGAAAATGTTCTTTTCAAAGGGAAAAATACCTGAGTTTTTGAAACCTGCTATTATATTTTTGGGGGTCACAGATTTTTAAAACGCAACACTAACACATTCAGCTATTTCATAAATTGAGATCGGATGGCCTGGATTCCTTAGCATCCACGATTCAACTGCAGCATTATATTGGGATTTGAATGGGGAAAAAACCGAAATATCTAAAGGCTGCAATTTGTGAGAGGTGTGCGGTGGCAATGTCAAGATAATAACTTTATTTTTCTTTGCTAGGTCAAGAATATAAGCCGATAAATGGCTTTCATGGTTATCCATAATTAATAGTGTGGGATTGTCTACACTACTCGAGGTTTGATGTATAAAGTGATTCATGACTTCTATAAATAAATCCATTTTCATCCATCCTGATGCTTGTGCAAGGCCTAAGGTACCGGGAGGAGCGCCGTGAAGCATATGCTGTTTACATTTCTTTCTTGGGAAAACCATAACTGGTGGAATAAATCTTCCAGTTGCATTCATAGTGCAGCAGGTGGTTACCAATATTTCGCGTTCATCGCTAGTTGCTGAGCTAACTTGTTTAATTCCCTTCTTTGTTAAAACTTGATTTCTGAACAGTAGTGGTTGCGATCTCGTCCGGGTTGTGCAAAATGCTTTGAACGCTCATAAATCTATTCCAAATTGGCAAAAAATTGGCCTATATTATGTTTATTAAATGAAATAGCTCTGGAAAGACTACAGCTTTCTGGTTGTCTTACACTCAACTCAGGATTCCGTGACATAAAATCTAATAACCATTCCATCCCTGCCCGTTTATTAATTTTCCATTTTTCAGGTATCTTAAATTTATTTGCATCGGCTACTTCGAAAGCAAGTATTCGCAAATCTTTCCTAATTTTGCCGTAGCACATTTTCGAACAAGTTATGGCGTATTCCGCAAAAAGTTTCTCTTGTTCTGAGGTAAAAATCTGCCGACAGGCATAGTTAGGCTTGTATCTTATTTTCACATTTTCGCCTGCAAGTTTTTGTTAAACTTAATTTTTCCTCAAGAACCATATGCATAGCTGCCTTCATTTGGTCCTCTGTGAAAGAACCTTTTTTCCGATTTTCGTTGTCTTCCACGAGCCATAGTTTTGACCCTAACATGGAAATAAAATGAAAAACATAAGAACACGTTGAAAAATTTTGTTCCACAATGAGACACCGTCTTCAAGAGGATCTTCTCTTATATCGTTCGATTTAGCCAATTTTCGCTGAACACAAATCTTCTAATAAATAAGAACGTCGTAAAGGATATGCTCGATTGTCTCATCTTGTTCTCGCCTCCTGAAGACTGCAGATTCTGACAGTCCCATGTTATGGAGATTCTTCGGTAGTTGGCAATGTCCAGCCAGAATGCCTGTGATCAGGCGCAGTCGTAGTCAAGTATATTTTCAGTGTAGTGTTGTCAGGATATCTTAAAAGCTCCCTGGAAAGTCTGCAGCTTCTTGTTTCATTCCATCTTTTCTTGAATTTCACAAGGGAATGTTCTTTAATTAGGTTTGTCACTACCGATGTTGTCAGTCCAATAGAAGGGCCAGGTCCAAAAAGTATTTGGTTGGCTGCCTTTTTGGCAAACGAATCAGCAAGACGGTTATCTTTCGATCTGGCGTGACCTTTGATTCATCCTAAGTTCTCCACATTGTTGATGGATACTTCGGCTAAAGCTTCGTGACATTCTAGTACTAACCCTAAATAAATTCGTGGTCTGACCATGTTAAGTAGTGCTTGTTTGCTATCTATATAGATGAGAATGTTTCATCCAGTGATATTATTTTGGTTTGAACTACACTGGCACTATTGCCCATAGCCCATTTTATGTATAGGTTTAAGGATCTGGAGAATATTCCAAATTCTGGGTCTTGTGATGTTTTAGAACCGTCGGTGAAGATATGAATCGTACTTGCCACTTTCTACTCTTCTATTTGTTCTGCTATAACTTTATATGGCTTATAGAAGATATATCTCGGTTAAATGGAGTTTATGTTCGCTTGAAGCAGTGGAAGCGAATCGAGCGCCTCCTACCAAAAGTGACATCTTGCTCACCAGATCTTACATCGGGTTCTATTCCAACCGTACGGAGGCAAGTCATTGTCATCAGAGAAACCTCCTTGATGTAAATATCAATGGGAGTGAGACTAAGAATGACTTCCATTGACTCTGATCAGTGTGGTTTCCATTGATCGTTATGTTAAGGCATGCTGTTCTTTGAATTTGGTAGTAAGGATATCTGAATATTCTATATAAAGAGGAAGACAAAACACCTATTCAAATAATATGCCATTCTCGGAATCTTAAATGGTAACTGAATGACACTTACAATATCTAATTCAGAGAAGTAGATCAGCAGAAAGATCAGAATTGAAATATAGTTGACCTGGGATCTTTTTCTACAATTTTAAGTATTTCATAAATTAATTTATTACATACAATATAAGTTGCTCCTTTTCAATACAGAAGTACCACAAGGTTTCATTTCTAACTCGATCACAACTCCTATATCAACGAATTCCTTTCATCTACTTCTAACTCTAAGCTCTGCAAAATAATATTTAGTCCACCAATATACTATCTTCCAAGACGATTGACATCCGAATATAAATAACTTTTTTCATTAGAGATAACCTTCAGACGATCACCAATTGGTAATACAAAAGAATGTCCTGTTTTAACGTTTCTAAAGCAACCTTAAATGAACCAAAAATTATTCTGTGCTTTTTAAAAATCAGGTTGTGTCTAATAGGAACTACTTTAAACAAGAGGGTGTTATCTCTCAAGACATTCATTTTAAATCTAACCTAACCTTTGTTCAAAGAAATAATTAAAAATCGTCTGCAGCCTCTGTAAGTCACAATATTGTAGTATTAAAGCAGGTGATAATGGCTAATGAATTTGCTATGTAGCGAACCTAATTAACAATACCTTCCAGAATATTATTAACAAAATAGCTTGAATCAACATCAGCCAATTGCTTATTAGATTTTATGAAACCTTTAAAGTCAGTATTTTAATTTAACTAAAATATTTCCAAAAATACATAACAAATATAATATCCGAAAGTTTACCTGAGATCCAGAGGACCATTGTCCAACTCCTTTAGAGACAGTCGTGATAGTCTTTCCTACTGTAACTAAAATTTCTTGCACTTCTTCTAAGTTCGGTTTAATTCCGACTTTCGGTATTAGCAGCAATGAGTTCAGTTTGAAAACTGCAGTTCTTTCGCTAACATCTAAAACGTAGTTACTTTGTAGCAGAACTTTAGTAACTTTATGGCAGAACTTAAGTAACTTTGTAACGGAAACTTTGTAGCAAAAATATAAAAGACTGAACTAGATATTTAGTAACTTTTCAGCAGGTGCTTTGAAAGTTTGTATTAACAACATAGTAACTTTGAACAGAAATATAGTAACTTTATAGTAGAAATACAGTAGCTTTATAGCAAGCCAAGCATATAGCTAGTTTGTAGAAGTTACAGAATTTCCATTATATAATAGGCAAAATATATTGCAAAATAAATAAATTTCCTTAACGAAAACACCAAAAATACTAACATTCCAGTGAAAATCTTTTTCTTAACGCATCCAAAGAGCTTCGGGTGACTTTTACCAACACGTCTACAATTTTTCTACTATAGTAACGTCGCATTTCTCCCAAAGCTCCTTTTACAATATCCTGCATTGATTTGATAGCAGCACCACCTATTAGAATATGAGGTTTTTCAAAACATTCCCAAACCAACGACCAATCAGATTGCTGTTGTGTCGCTGAGCTTCCGGTTTCAGCATTTTTATCTTCATCTGGAAATCAATGAAAATATTCATAAAATATTCATAAAATATTCATAAAATATTCATAAAATATTCATAAAATATTCATAAAATATTCATAAAATATTCATAAAATATTCATAAAATATTCATAAAATATTCATAAAATATTCATAAAATATTCATAAAATATTCATAAAATATTCATAAAATATTCATAAAATATTCATAAAATATTCATAAAATATTCATAAAATATTCATAAAATATTCATAAAATATTCATAAAATATTCATAAAATATTCATAAAATATTCATAAAATATTCATAAAATATTCATAAAATATTCATAAAATATTCATAAAATATTCATACAATTTTCATAAAATATTCATAAAATATTCATAAAATATTCATAAATTATTCATAAAATATTCATAAAATATTCATAAAATATTCATAAAATATTCATAAAATATTCATAAAATATTCATAAAATATTCATAAAATATTCATAAAATATTCATAAAATATTCATAAAATATTCATAAAATATTCATAAAATATTCATAAAATATTCATAAAATATTCATAAAATATTCATAAAATATTCATAAAATATTCATAAAATATTCATAAAATATTCATAAAATATTCATAAAATATTCATAAAATATTCATAAAATATTCATAAAATATTCATAAAATATTCATAAAATATTCATAAAATATTCATAAAATATTCATAAAATATTCATAAAATATTCATAAAATATTCATAAAATATTCATAAAATATTTATTAAATATTCATTAAATATTCATTGGATATTCATTAAATATTAATAAAACATTCATCAAATATTCATCAAATATTCATCAAATATTCATCAAATATTCATCAAATATTCATCAAATATTCATCAAATATTCATCAAATATTCATCAAATATTCATCAAATATTCATCAAATATTCATCAAATATTCATCAAATATTCATCAAATATTCATCAAATATTCATCAAATATTCATCAAATATTCATCAAATATTCATCAAATATTCATCAAATATTCATCAAATATTCATCAAATATTCATCAAATATTCATCAAATATTCATCAAATATTCATCAAATATTCATCAAATATTCATCAAATATTCATCAAATATTCATCAAATATTCATCAAATATTCATCAAATATTCATCAAATATTCATTAAATATTCATCAAATATTCATCAAATATTCATCAAATATTCATCAAATATTCATCAAATATTCATCAAATATTCATCAAATATTCATCAAATATTCATCAAATATTCATCAAATATTCATCAAATATTCATCAAATATTCATCAAATATTCATCAAATATTCATCAAATATTCATCAAATATTCATCAAATATTCATCAAATATTCATCAAATATTCATCAAATATTCATCAAATATTCATCAAATATTCATCAAATATTCATCAAATATTCATCAAATATTCATCAAATATTCATCAAATATTCATCAAATATTCATTAAATATTCATCAAATATTCATCAAATATTCATCAAATATTCATCAAATATTCATCAAATATTCATCAAATATTCATCAAATATTCATCAAATATTCATCAAATATTCATCAAATATTCATCAAATATTCATCAAATATTCATCAAATATTCATCAAATATTCATCAAATATTCATCAAATATTCATCAAATATTCATCAAATATTCATCAAATATTCATCAAATATTCATCAAATATTCATCAAATATTCATAAAAATATTTAGAAAATATTTTGGCTACCTTCAAAGGTAAATGCATCCTCATCTAGACTACTTTGCGGATCAATATCAGCTCTTTTAACAAGGGAAAGTATCTCTTCCACTGCTTCTTCGATCATTAAACTCTTTTTGTGCAGTTCAATAGCTGCCGTTGTGCACACCATATCAATTTTGTTGCAAAAGTTTTCGACAGTCCATGATTCCTCTCCATTTCCTGGTAACGCGTACAGCTGGATTACCTGCATGCTACTCAAAACTTCCATAACTCTATTAGCATAGATATCGTGGACTCTGTCGGTCTGGAAATAATTGTATTTTGAAAGAGACTGATTCTAGTCAAATTAATATGTTCGAAGTATCTCAATGAATGCCTGTATTTTAATGGGAAAATAAAGTTCTTACCAATTCTTTAAAATTTTTGATAGCTGCGTTCCCTTTATCGACGAAATCTTTCCAATCCAGGGAGACCCAGTTAAGTTTAGTCAATCCAGGTTCAATGTTATGCGTCAATTTGATCAAATGGGGTAGAAACAAAGGTCTTACTTCCAATTTTACTGTTTTAACGGCCTTAAGGTAATCATTGATCAAGAACTAAAACAAAATAGTTGAAATACTTTTGGTAGTGGTGTTAATGGTTATTTGAAATAAAAAGCAAGTGTCAAAATATAACCCAGATGATCCCATTGCCATATTCAATGTTTGAATAGTCCATCATTACATGTTTAATAAACCTGCTATACAAAATTTGACTTACTTGAAGAGAATCTTGAACTAAATTAAAATGTTCCTGCTTGGCATACAATGTTAGTGCGACCATTGGTACCGGAAGTTCCATTTTTATCATAAAATCTGATTCTCTTATCAGTAACGGTATGGCAGGATGAAGATTAACTTTTAATTTTTGTTGATCTTGGCAAACTGCTATCAAATTTCTCATCAGGCAAAGGTCCACGTCGGAAACCTATACATAAAAAGATATAATTTGGTAATTTGACCAAGAAGTTGTAGTTTTGTAATCAAAGCGCATAGGGGTGTCATAAGGGAGATGAAGGTCGACTTTTAGAATACCTAGATGCTAATGCTTACATGCTGGTTCATCCATAGGCATACTATATCAGCTTCGTAGGCCCTCAACATTATTTCAGCCGCGATATGTTTTTTCGACAGTTCAACGGTGGCGGGTAAGTTTTTCAAAATTTGATGCGTTGTTACGCTAGATAGCAGTTCTTCTAAATGCGATATTAGAGCTCTGGCCCATTTAACTCTTCCTAAAAAAAAGAAGTACTATAAGAAAATAAATTAAACATAACTTTATAAAGTTGAAGTCCAGAAGTGATAAACAGAAAGCTACATTATGTCATGCACTACCATTTATATTAGATCTTAACCTGCGATTGGAGGAAATAATCTAGGGACTGGCGGATCATCTTTCTGTTTTTTGTACATTTTGATTATCCGTTCTACTTCTTTTTCACAATACTTTAATATTCGATCGTATTTCTCCTCCATTTTTGCTAATGGAATCTTTTCGCTAACCTTAAATGAAAATGTATTAAAATTTAAACCAGTAGCTAAAGATATAACAAAAAAGTATTAATGAAAAATTACCATATAAGTGATCTATAAACATCTATTTTGCATTTATTAGAGCAAAGTAAGTTGGGAAATATACTCGAACAGTATTAGTATTGATTGAAAGGAAAGGAACATTGAGATTAAAGTTTTGATGATAATGAATAATGATGATAATGATTCTAACGAATTACTCTAAATAATCGTTAAACATATCAGATATTCGCTCAAAACGATTATTTATTTTAATAACCGAAATATCAAAAATTACCTTTTCAAATCTAGTCAAAAATCTGATACCCTGTGGTGTTTCCCAAACGCTATCGAAATTTCTTTCTATTGCTTCGGCAATATTCTGTCTAAGCTGTTCTGTATTTGCCAAAAACGTTTTGAAGTCATTATCATATTCGACGTTTCTGTGATCTAAATAGTCATAGGGTTTGTTCATCACTATTTGTTTTATTTCTGAAAACTTTTGAATTGCTTCTTCCAAAGCTGAAATTATATGAAAAAATATTAGGATTTAAGCATGAATAATAGGACTGACTATCTGTACGTTCAATAATTATTAATTTTACTTATATTGACAATTATATTTAAATTTTAACTTACCATCACCCAGAAGCAACCCCTCCATCCTCCTCTGAAATAATCCAGTATAGTCATCTATCAAATCAAACATAGAAATGATTTTCATCAAACGTTTGCAGAAAGCGTCGAATTTTCCAAAAACGTAATTTTCCGAAAAATTAAACTGGTGCTGTCCAGGCAAAAACGGTTGGGCTTTTACGACGTTGTACGTTTTTCTATACACTTTATTCAATATTATGCAGTTCGTTAATTTTTCCTTCATTTGGACTCTGTCTTGTGACCAAATGCTTTCCTGACCCCTACAGGTGATGTAGTCTTTGCAGGTTTCTATCATCTGATTTGTTATCTAAAATAAATGAGGAAAACTTTAAACAGCAAGCAATTAATGAACTGAAATCGATATCGATGTGAACTTATAAAATGAATGAAGTATTGCGGATCATAGTTAACGCCTCTTGGCATGTGCGTAATAGAGATATTTATAAACATTTTAAAATATCTACAGTGAATGAAGAAACCAAAAAGTGCACTGCTGGATAATCAGCATTATGGTCGACTTTTAAAATGGTCTGTGTTTGTTGTTTGATCTTATAGATAAAACAAAACAATTAGTTTATACCTAAGAGAACTCACAGATAAAAGTGTGAAAAATAATAATTGCTCTAGAGAGCAACAAGAAAACTTAAACAAGACCAATAATCCATAGTCCACCAATAAGAAAAGAAATAAGTTTAGTGAAAAATTATGAGCAAAAGGCAAAATACCCAGAAGGAATCTTCTAACCAAATGAACCATCCATGAGGAAGAAGACAAACAGCTGAGGCGGTTATTCCCTGAGAAGTTGCCGAAAAAATAAGGATAAACTTATTTGCAAAAAGAGTGTCTGGATATCATCTTATCACAGGAGCAGTCTTGAAAGAACTACCAAGGAAAAGCATTGTCAAACTCACAAATTTATAATTTCTCTACAATATTTAGAAAATAGCTGAATTCATTTTGGTCATAAACCAGGAAATGAAACAAATAAAGTTTATACAGGATAATTTATCTCTTGCCAGTAATTTCAAAATTTTTGGAGAAGCTATTTCTGAAGACTAAACTATTATAGAAAGAAAAATCTTTAAAAAGAGGCCAGTTACACAATCGCAACTTAAATAGAGAAAACAATCAATTGATAAGGTTGACTTGTACAGCAAATTGATTCTAAAACAAACAAAACCAGGAGTAGCGCAAGGAAGTTTACTTGGTTTAGTCTTATATTTACTCTATACTTACACTGAGACTGAGAAAATATCTGTAGCTGAACAGATTATTAGAAAATTCTTTCATGGAAAAGTTAAAAAATGACCTGTGATATTTAATTTTTTTACTTGTTATAGTTAACCAGTAAACCAACAATTTTAAAAAATTGGAAAGTTCTTATAAGTGCCAGCTGTCCCAACTTAAATGTTTAACTGATCCAGGTAAATTGACATCGGCATCAACACCAACACCACAGTATGGTAAGTAAATCAGCTGTTTTTTAAATATACCTCTCTAATTTTGTAGTGTATTTTCATAGGTTGCGAAACAATGGTTCATAATTGATATTTGACGAATAATATGTAGAATTATTTGAAGGTTTGTACATTTTAATTTGATCAAAGAAAGTGATAGTTAAAAAAACTTCAAAATTGTTGAGGTGCGGATATTCTCCACTCATGGTCTTCCACAAATACCAACAAGATATAGAAAAATGCCTTTTGAGATGGCTTTCTAAAATTATAAAAAAAGTTTATTGAGAAGGGAAGGAAAAAGAAGAGGATAAAGAAAAGAAGAAAGAGTAGAAATTAAAAGTAATTATTGTGTTTGCAGCAGTATATTTTTATAGCTACATTTAAAGGTTTCTGCTTTCAAATGTAATAATGTTGGATCAATTTTTAACAGGTTATTGATATAGACTATGACATTGTTGGTAAAAGAACTTTTAAAACTAGCGTTGAAAAATGTAGACAATCTAAGTATGGATTTAAAACGAATATTTAGGTTATGAATATCGGTTCTAAATGTTAGTTTTTCATGCAAGTATGGTGATGTCTTCATATTAAATAATTTTTGACTGAGACAAGCAAAATGTAAATTTCTTTTATTACCCATATTTAACCATTTAGTTTCTTTAATTTTAGTATCAAAAACTAGAAAACTAATTAATTATTCTCCCTGGATTACTGAAAATATTATTTATATGCAAAGGCTTAGAGATAAAGCCTTGCAAAAATTCGCAAAACACAACTTCAAAGGCATTGGGATTACTATAAACAATTAAGAAATTACATAACTACAGCTATAAAAGCAGAAAAAGGGGCTTACTTTAATTTTAAATTTTAAACTTGTAATGAGACAAAAAAAATTGACATACCTCCAAAACTAAAAGATGTTAATGTTATTTACAAGTTGTTCATTTCAAACATTAATAAATCTGATATACAAATAGATTTACAAGATTTGTACCTAAACAATTTTAAAGAAAATATTAGTGAAGATTTTCATTTTATTGATGTTTCGGAAGATATTGTCAATAAAATTATCTACAACATCAAATCTAAAGCTTATGGAATGGATGATATTAATATTACTATTTTACACTTTTGTTGTACATTTCTATTACCCATTATTACACCAAAAATAGAGAGAGTAATAGAAATTCAAATAAGAAGGTTTTTGGAAAACAATATATTACCTAGTATACAATCTGGCTTTAGGTCAGGCTATAGCTGTGATACAGACCTAGCGGATGTTATAGATGATTTAATTATGGCCGTAATTTCTCGAAAGCTTACGATAGTATAAATCATACAATTTTACTTGCGATGTTGAAGTTTTTTAGATTTAATAATACATCTGTGTCTCTCTTAACTTAAAATCATGTATTTATGAGCGAAAACAAATTGTTCAAATAGACAATATGTCTTCTACACTGTTGGGGATTACATCTGGTGTATTTGAAGGTAGTATTTTAGGCCTTTTATTATTTACTCTTTATCTCACAATTTATACACAATTACCACTTACGCAGATGACTCCCAATTATACTATTCTTTTAAGTATTCCAATTTAAACGAATCTATACAGAATATTAATTCCGATCTAAATGAAATCTTTAATGTATCTAAAAATCATTCATTAAATTCATTCAATGATTTTTTATAATGAGTTAATTAAACTACTAAACATTATTAAAAATTAATAACGCGTTAATCCCAATTGTTACCCAATGTAAAAACTTAGGTCTTACTTTATATTCAAAATTAACGATTGAATATCATATTACTTCAAAATTCTATAAACAGAAGAAAGCAGGTAGACGTTTTATGCTTATGGAGATTCTCTTAGTAGCAAAAAGTTACCAGAAACGATATCACTGGAAGTAATATGCGTATCTATAGAGACAATCACTACTCACACTGGACAGACCACGAATTTAATTAGGTTAAGTACTAGAATGCCACGAAGCTTTGTCCGAAGTATCCATCAACAATGTGGTCACCTTAAGATGGATCAAAGGTCACTTCACTTCAAAAGGCAACCGTTCCGCTGATCCACTAACCAAGAAAACAGCCAACCAAATACGTTTTAGACCAGACTCTTCTATTGGACTGACAACATCGGTAGTTGCCAGCGAGCTTTTAAGTTATCCTGATAACACTAAAGCAAACAAATAATTGACTAGTCATTGCCAAGTTTCCAAGTAAGGAAGCAGTTCCATAACATGGATCTGTCAGAATCCGCACTATTCAGGGAGTGCAAACAAGAAGATGATACCATCGAGTATATCATCTACGATTGTCCAACGCTGTCATTTATTAGAATATTTGTATTCGGTGAGAATTAACTAATATCGGCCGATATAAGAGAAGCACCTCGTGGCGACGTTGTCAAATACATTAAATTTGTAGGCTGGCTATTAACTTAGATAGATGCAAACTAGACCTAGTGAGGCCTAAGTACCGTAGAGTAACCTATCCTGTACACATTATAGATACAGATAACTGTTCCATAAACACAAATTCTCGTAAAAATGTAGCCCAGTTTCTGAAATTTATTTTTATCTCGAATAAATTTCTGAGATCTACTTTCTTTTTAACTGGCTTCAACTACTAAGGCTATTTCGCTTCGTGTTCTGTGTAGGCTTTGTTACTGTTTCCCAGCGCTACTTTAATTAGAACCCAACAGTGAATGGTCAAGTGGGGAATCCTACCAAGGCATCAGAATTAATTTTAAATAAATTAATAAAATAAAAAATCCTGGCCAACAGTGGGATTCGAACCTGGGACCCTTGGATCCGCAGGCAGAGACTCTACCACTGAGCCACCCGCCCCTCTCGGTGTTAAAAAAGAATTCAAGAGATTTGGTGAAAAGCACGAAGTTTCATAATCATGTTAACTCCGAGATACCCTACAAAAAGAAGACTGTTAGACTAACTGGCTAAAACCTAGTACAATAGTAAAGTGAAAATGTTTTAGAGCATGGTGTTAGGTGACAGTTTACAGATATGACCTGTGAAACACAAACGGGTGATATATTGATTTTAAGTCTTTTTTTAGATGGGTTAAGTTAAGACAAAATTATTGTTTGGGAGTGTTGTATATAAAAGCTAAGTACCGTACCAAGTGACATGGGCGCCGGTGGAGGGGGGTAAAGGGGGTAGCTGCCCCCTTGAAATTTCCAAATTCCCAAAAATTATACAATTCACGATTCAAGCTAAGTGATACACCCTCTACAGGAAATTTGTAGAAGGTTCCTATAAGTAGGATATTGTTTATTGTTGCCAGGAGTAGCGAAATTTTGTTACGTCGTCGGATTTTTAGCCATTGAAGAAGTACATAAGACCTTTTTTTAAGTAGCACAATTTGTGTCTAATAATATGTAATCATACTCTATATTTAAGCATTTTTTTTTGTAAATTTTTTTTAAATTTCAGTTTATTTATTAATTTTGTTTTAAAATATGTTCTTCATTTTATTTATTTATTTTTATTTTAATTTGTATCAATTATAATTTGAAGTTTTTCTTACTTGTGAGCTTTAAATTTGTTTATTTCTTATAGTGTGTAATAGTGTTTATATTAAAAATGAAATTTGCGAAAAAGCTCCCAACAAATTGCTATCTATATGGTGTTACTGTAAAAATCAAAACTGAAGTGTTCATTATTTTGCAAGCGTAAATTGCAAAATTTTGTCTAGAATCAAACTGCAATATCTGAATTGTGAGTTTTATTACTGTTTACATGTATACAAAGTACTACACCTTTTATTTCATAATATAGGAATAAGGATAGTAAGATTTTTAGTTAAGTTTATCAATAATAAATGTTAGGTACCTAAATTTTATTACTTATCGAGTTTTCGCTATGGACAACCACGCCTAAGTTCATTATATTCCGTATAGTATTTCTAAATTTCTGTAATTTATTTTAAATAATTCACAATTTTGCTTTCTTAACCCCCCTTGGAAAAAGTTTTGCCGGCGCCCATGCTAAGTGATGTGGGATATAAATTGATTAATTTATTTTAGTAGATAAGTAGTTTTAAAAAACATGTTTGTTCTTACTTTGACCATAAGAGCAGACGTTCTTTCTGAAGTGTTATAAAATTGAGAAACGCTGTGAATCAATCTGACTGTTTGCAAAAGCCCCATAATAGATCTTCTCATTTTAACCTAAAAAATATATTAAAAACGCTGCATATTATATCCGATTACAGCTAGCAATTTGAATATAGATAGTTTTAGAAATCCCTGTATGTAAAATTTTCTTACCGGATCATCCAGATACAACGAATGGCATTTTGTTTCTAAAGCTTGTATAAATTTAGCGTTATCCTTGGCCTCGTTATAGCAAAACGTTATTTTTTTATCGGTCTCCCTCCATTCCTTCAAAATTTTTGCATGTGCTAATTTCAAACACAAAATGGTCATTTGGACTTCCGGCGTATTTACTTGATTCACGATTTGCGAAAATTGAGCTCCCCTTTTCTTCCAATACTCCAGTTCGTCTTGGGGACCTTAAAACAAACACTTTTAGAAATGTATCTTTAATCTACTCTCAGTACAATGCAGAGAACTATACTGGTCCTTTGACTGCATAGTCGTATTTAAAATTGTAAAAGACATAAATGAAAGATATAATTCAAAAAATTGCAAGATTAGAAAATTACAGTTGGGCATTGAGAATAATAAAATGGAGACCTAGAGAAAATAAATAGAAGTAGATAAATTGTTGCAAAAAATACGTTAACCAAACACAAATCTGCAGTAGATAAAAAGTTGAATAGGTTTTGGTATTAAGCCGTTCACTGAACAGACTTAATGATGATTCTATTATTCATTAAATTTACCTGATGAGTCATTTTCTCTTCGGATTTGTTCACTTTCTTTCAGAATTTCGTCTAATTTTTTTATCCACACTTTCACTCTGTTCTCTAGAGGAATCACTTGATCGGGTTGCTTTGCGATTTCTTTAAGTTCTTCTGCGTCATTATTGGCCATTATTGTCTTGCCGTCGTCAAATAAATTACCACCTCCACATACTTCTTCGCATACTAAAATAATAAGAATGTAAAAGAATTGGTATTCTCTAAATTTTCAGTTACGAAATAATGAATTTGCACCATACTATAATGTCAACAGTATATATTACCTTTTAAAACACTGCAAAAAGATCTTAGATTTGGCAGTAAATTATTTTTAACCATTGGACAACTGGCTGCATCATCTTCACAATCAAGACTAGGATGTGCTAGGACTTCCATAAATACATATTCTATCACTCTTTGAATACTGGTGACTAATCCCACATTATGTGAGTCAATTATACCACAGAAAAGATCCTAAAAATTAATTTTGTACGACTTCTACTCACTATTTTTCGTAAAATCAAATCTACCTTTTGAAAACCTTCTTCAGGCAACTGCTTTCCACTGTTGGTTCTGAAAATATAAATTAAAGTTCCTGTCAATGGTACGCTGATTCCGTCAGTTAAAAATAGTTTTTTCTTGTAGGTGAGATGTTGCTGTAATAGATTTCCTCTGCTGGTGCTTGGCTGGAGTTGTCTACTGGGGCCTGGTTTGTTGGGATCCACGACGGGCTCTGGAGAAGGTTCCTCCATGTCTTGATAAAACCACATCAATTTGGTTTTCATGTGTGGTAGAAATAGTTGATTTATCTCGTCCAACTGAAAATTTTGCCGTTTAATCATTGATCCATTACGGTTCACCGATTTGCTCTCAGCGGTGCAAGGATATAGGGTCCTATGCTTGAACGTTTACGTTAATTTTAACACGAATCTGTTATGTTATGCTAACATGGAATAGATAACATATGAAGTAACAGTAGGTGTCGTATCGGTATGATTGAAAGGATCGATAAGAGAAGATGTTATGCTGGCTGTTACGAATGAAAGAAAGTATTTATTTGCATTATTGCGCGTGAGCATAAGATGTACTTAACATCACTTCATTTCTAAAAATGAGGTTTTTCATCTTTTTCTGAATGTAAAAACAACAACAATTAGTTTAGAATTTTTTGCAGTTTATTTTTAATTTTATTTAATTTATTATGCCGAAAAGATTAGCTAAAACACCTGTGAAATAGTATGAGGAGCTACTTAATTTTGTTAGAAAAAACAAAATTATTCTCACGGAGAAAACAAATATATATTAGATAAAAAAAATTCAAACCTTTGGCTAGCAGTTGGGCACTTAACGGCATGTTATTCGAGGCTGTTGAGGCGATATGTTAAATTAAAACATAACAGACGGAAAATAACAGTAATGTGTTATGAAAGACTTTACATCATACGAATTTGTTTCGTTGCTGTTAAAACTCGGCCTAACATGCACGTTACAGATAACGTAAACGTTCAATCATAGGACCCTACGGGGTCTATTCTGTAACAATTCCTTTATATTTAACGGCCTTTAAAAATATTGGCGGCCTATAAAAATATGGTCGTATTCGTTAATTTACTTGACATTATTTAAACAGATTTCTTTAAGATAGTCCTCTAATATATTTTAAAGATCCGTTTAAATAATGACAGAAGTAAAGAAGAAAATATTTTTAAAGGCCGTTAAATATAAAGGAATTGTTACAGAATAGACCCCTATATCTGTCTAAATTTCAGAAAAATGAATCCGTCATTGTAAAATCCGTTTTCCGGAGTTTTCGCTTATTTGGATTTTGTGATTTTGCATATTTTGTTCAACAATTATTACTGATTAGAAATCAATTTAAAAAGCTTTTCTTGCAATTTTATCCACGTTCCGTCATCAGTAAAGGGGCAGCACTGATTCGAAAACATTCCTTGTGTAAATTAACATGGGAAATCGCTAAGGTTCATTCTGCCAATTTTTGGCGGTGACGTCACACGTCGAGAATCATCAACTAACTTGTTGAGCCACCAACGGGGGAGTGGGGGAAGTGGCGGAGTGCGGGGGGGGGTGGGGGGTTAAATCTCCTTTAACGTCGAATAGAAAAATCATGCGCAATGTCAAAGGGGCCTTAGCACGTATCTTCACTGCTATTGGTCCGATTTAAACTGGAAAAACGGCATTACGTAGAGAACGTATTATATATTAACGTAGAAGAGAAAAATCATGCGCAGAACGAAAAGCCACAAGGGCCTAAGCGTGTATCTTCACTGCTATTGGTCCGATTTAAACGGGAAAAATGGCATTACGTAGAGAACGTGGTATAGATTAACGTGGAATAGAAAAATCATGCGCAATGCCACAAGGGCCTTAGCACGCGTCTTCACTGCTATTGGTCCGATTTAAACGGGAAAACGGCATTACGTAGAGAATGTGGTATAGATTAACGTAGAAGAGAAAAATCATGCGCAGAACGAAAAGCCACAAGGGCCTTAGCGTTTATCTTCACTGCTATTGGTCTGATTTAAACGGGAAAAACGGCATTACGTAGAGAATGTGGTATAGATTAACGTAGAAGAGAAAAATCTTGTGGAATGTCAAAGGGGCCTTAGCACGTATCTTCACTGCTATTGGTACGATTTAAACGGGAAAAACGGCATTACGTAGAGAACGTGGTGTAGATTAACGTAGAAGTTCGATGGAACACCGTGTGCAACAGAAAAATTCAGTAGTGACTCCAAAACCTGTATGTAATATTTAATATATTTAAATGTACCCAGAAGAACATCGAATGTCTACGTCAATGGTTCCTTAATTGCATACCTTTGCAATTTTTTGTTATTAATAAATGAATAAAAAGGAAAAAGGTTTTTAATTGAAACACCTTATTAATTACATGCATTTATTTTCGTTTTACAGGAAGAATAAAAATGTTTATTTATAATTTATATAATAATTTTCAATATTATAAACAAAGTAGATGATAGTGTTATACAACTAATTACATATAATTTAGAATATTCAGGCTCTGACATGTCACTCAAATCGATAGGTGGTGGTGGTGGAGTCGTAACAGTTTGCCAATTTTTGAATTCTCCTTCGGTGTCATCATTAAAAATCAATGTTAATTTCTATCTCTTTGCTTTATCGATTGCTATGGAAAACGTATTTAGCTTCATATTATTTACCACCGATAAATTCATCTTTCGCCATTCCGTTTGATTATCAAAACGTATCGTCATCTCTTGTACGCCATTCGGTACATTGGTATACAGTATATTGTTTAATATGGCAGTAAGTATAATGAAATTAGCCTTTAAGATGGCCATATTTGCGTCGGCTGGATTCTTCTAAGTCTAGGGTGATATCTCTCAATATCCCCCCAAAGACTTAAATTTGTCAAATCTCTTAAAACTTGTTTTTTATCTTCATATAATTTTATGTCTCTTCTAAGTTTTTGAAGTTTTATACCAAACTCTTCAATTGTACGTCTATTCTCTTTGCTAGACATCTTAATACTAAATATAGAAGCACCTATTTACTTTATTCAACTAAATAATAACTTATACCCCCACCGCAAAATATGCCCCCCATATTTGATGTATCACACGTAGTTCTAGCTCGTCATCAATTTTAAAATGCCGTTTGAATGACATATTCATTATAAGCATGTTGCATTACATTACATACTCAAAAATTAAAGAAATCGGAGACATTAATTCAAAAAGTGTCAATAAGATACAACGATTGGCAAATTCATTATTAGTATGTCACGTGTCATTTCCTTTTCAAAGATCATGAGAATCGGAAATATGAAAGATGGTGGGATACCGGTAGTAATGATATGATAATTTCAGCTAGATAACAGTTCAAGGTAAACACCAACAACAACGATTTGTTAATGCCCCTGTGTCTTTCGTTGGAACTGACAGCTGGATGACAGTTCACACCGAATACCGTTTGCCCCGTTCGAATCAGACCAATAGAAATAAAGACATAAGTTTAAGGCCCTTCTGGCATGTTTTTTCTCTTCAATGTTAATAGTTCTATACATTATGCCGTTTTTCCCGTTTGAATCGGACCACGTGATATATGCTAAGGCCATTCTGGATTGTTCGTTCTGCGCATGATTTTTTTGTTTGACGTTAATCGTTCTCTTCATAATGCCGTTTCTCCCGTTTGAATCCGACCAACAATACCAAAGATATCAGTTTTAGGCCCTTTTGACTTGTCACTGCGAATATTTTTTTTGTTCGACGTTAATCTATACCACGTTCTCAGTAGTATCCGAGAAACATGCTAACGCCCTTGTGGCTTTTCATTCTGCGCATGATTTTTCTACTCGACGTTAATCAATACTGAGTTATCTTCATAATGCCGTTTTCTCGTTTGAATCGGACCAGTAATAACGGAAATTGAAGCTTAGGCCCTTCTGGTTTTTCGTTCCGCGCATGATTTTTCTATTCGATGTTAATCTATACCACGATCTCTACGTAATGCCGTTTTTCCTGCTTAAATCGGACCAATAGCAGTGAAGATACATGCTAAGGCCCTTGTGGCTTTTCGTTCTGCGCGTAATTTTTCTCTTCTACGATAATCTATACCACGTTCTCTACGTAATGCCGTTTTTCCCGTTTAAATCGGACCAATAGCAGTGAAGATACATGCTAAGGCCCCCCACCCTCACCCCCCCCCACTCCACCCTCACCCCCCACTCCACCCTCATCCCCCCCCACTCCGCCGCTTCCCCCACTCCCCCGTTGGTGGCTCAACAAGTTAGTTGATGATTCTCGACGTGTAACGTCACCGCCAAAAATTGGCAGAATGAACCTTAGCGATTTCCCATGTTAATTTACATAAGGAATGTTTTCGAATCAGTGCTGCCCCTTTACTTTCATCCATTACCTGGACTATTTATGATTGTAACTTTATACATTTTTTTTTAATTGCTCGTCATTTTTCTTTCATGGCGAAGACAAAGCTTGACAATCGGTAATTCCCGTTAAAACCAAATATCGAAATTAATATTTACTAATTTTAAAAGTCTTGCTACAAAAAAAATGTATACTTTAAAACTGAAACAAAAAAGTACCATATCTCCTTCGAAAACGTGGTCCATAATTTCGTTTCTCGGCAACCCCGTGGCGTCCATAAGGAGTTGAAATGTAAACTCCAAACGAGGGTCCATCTCCCCTCTCCTCGCCTTTCGCTCGCATTCTTCCCGCCGGCGCTGTCGAAAAAAAAATCATTTCGTTAAAATTTTGCAAAGAATTTCAACGGAAAAATTATTAAGCGAAGGAAATTAGATTCAATTAAATTAATTACTTTCTAAAAAAGTAGAGAGACAAAGATATTCGAGATTTATTAAGAAATTCCCTTTAAAACGCATCGCTACAGAAGAGTGAATAATATAAATTAAAATAAAAGAGTAACTAATATTTTTTTATAAAATATTCAATTCAGGGCCATAGACACATAACAGGAAAACTAATAATAACATTTTTTTAGTAAACACAAAAATGTCTCGGCATAATGAAGGAGGAAGAAGTTTAGTAGCGGTAGCAGTTTTCTGAATTGCATTCTAAGCGGGATAGCTACTCTAATTCCAAAATTTCAAATTGCAATCCATACCATGTATTACCTCAATTAAGCTGTCTTTGTACACTGCATACAAGCTCTGCTTGGTTCCCGGGGGGCATATTCGGAAAACGCCGACACGTTAGAGTTTGATGCAGCGAATGACAAACTCGTAAAATCCCGACGTGTTAGAAATAATACGTCGGCGATTTATGAAATAAGAAATGTTTGTTTACTTGTCATCAATCATCACTCATCAAGAGATAATGTTAGTTTTAATTTCCTTTTTCTATTGCCTAGTTAGGTATATGCAAGTCTCTATTCAAATTTTTAATTTGTTGTTCGTGCCATAATAAGTGATTTAAATTAATACAACTGGTAATAAATTTAAAGACATTATCTAATAATACACTATAATATAAAATTGTATTTTAATACCTGGCATATATCAGAAAAAGGTATTTTAACTCCTTTACAAAATGTGTACAAAAATATATTGTCTTCTGTCCCTAAACAGTCGGCATGGCACCAACCTAAACATTTCTTGTAGTGTATCCACTGTTTACCCCTGACGTCTTTCGATTGCAATAGGAACTGGTGGCAATCATTTACTTGTGAGTTCCAAATTGCGGACACTACGCCATTCCATATTAGATACAACGCGATTTTAATTTCAAACATTACCTCCAACACTACTTTAATTTGCTAAATAGGAATAAAGAGCGTATTGTACCGATAGTCTAATTTATTTATAGTTTATTTATTTAAAACACACTATTTACAATTTATTTAAGGCGTACTAAATAATTTATATAATACTTAGACACTAACTAACAATTCTAATTTATTTATTACAATTTAACTTTTCATTCCAATATTCTATACTAAACTGTGCGCCGATGAGCCGGGCTATTTATACCAAGTCCAACTCTGCTACGAGAAGTCTCTAGATGCTCCCGAAAATTCCATCTCTGACTCAACTGCACTCTCCGCCCATTCTAGCCGTTTCTTGAGCCTCAGCGGCATTCCTAGGAGATTCCGTCGTTTCGAGCATGTGTCGGATGCCAAGCTGCTTAGGGGTCGGCTTAGGAATTTCATGACATTATATTATGCTCAAACACATGTTCTGTATAAAAAGTTGACAGTTGATACTCCCCTTGTGCACTAATATTATTAATACACACCTACAAAATATTCGATTTTACAAAAAAAATATAAAATTATTATAAATTCATACGTTGCATTAGCGTTCACTGGTTTATTGGAGTAAAAATGAGATATATTGAACTACGTTTGGATGCGATTTGCGCGGCGTTGCCAAAGCTTTTTGAAATAATTTAATGGTATTCCATATTTGATCATACTCCTCTACATTAAATTGTATTTTCTATAAAAATAAAAGTATTTTTTTAAATTTAAAAATATGTAGGCGACAATAATTTCAAAAGAATCCACTTTTGTCAAATATACAATTGACCTTTTTGAATATGATTTTATTTTCCTAATTAAGTGCGCAATTAAACTAATATAAATATCTAATTGTACATAAATGCATCGATAACTCGATAATTCGTAAATCGCCGACGTATAAGTCTAACACATCGAGATTCTACGAGGCTCTTATTCTCGCTACCGAACTCATACGAGTATCTAACGTGTCGGCGGTTTCCGAATATGCTCCCGGGGAACCAGAACTAGTTGCTAGTTGTAGTTGCATATTGCAAGAGGAAGATGAAACAGCTGGTCATGTTGGGTGCGATACTTACGCCCACCACAGAGTAAGCAGTTATAGAGGGTGTCTCAATGAAAAGTAGCCCATTTTGAGAGCTTATAACTTTTAAACAAATCGTATTAACGTGCGGTTTTTGCTGATATATGTTATTTTGCTGTAAGTTTTGCTTCAGTGACACAGAAATTATGTTTTACCTATACATTGAATTTTTTAAAATTCTCCTCTTTTACATTTACCGTAACCAAATTTTATCAAATGGAAATGGGCAACTTTTTCTGTATTATAAATTATACAATCGAACAAGGGCTTATTGTTACCAACGTAGGTTCGGAACCAACTTTTATGACATAAAATCGTGTGAAAGTTCTAGACCTAACAAACATTACGCAGTTTGTGAGTCCCCATATTGTTAACTGGCAAGTATCCCACCAAACCCCTATGGTACCTACTCGTCAATTTCGTCACCCAAAATCCAAAATACACAGACTGGAGTGGACACGAAAAGTCCTTCTAGGAGGCCCTGGGAAACGTAATTACAACTATTAAGATTATAGTCTAGAGAAGAAAAGAGTGAAGTAATTTAATTTGCATAACGTAATACAGGTTCAAAAGGTAGATATTTTATTCATACCTCATCCTTCAATGCTTAATTGTAGTTAAAATGAAAATTTTAACACATCTGATCGGCCTTATAAAAATTTTTGTCCCACCCAAACCACTGACGTGTCATTGAAAAACCAACCTTTATAAAAAGAATTATTTTTCTCAGACTAAGAGGCGTGACACATTGCTACTACTAGTAAATATGAGAATTAATTCTTATTAATTCTTGCAGTAAAAAATTGGATGTTTTATAAAAAAACTACCTTGTATAAAAAAGATACTATATTTGTTATTTTAAGAAAACTAATTCATCTTTTTTCTTTATCTTTTTTCTTTATTTTTCTTTTTTTATTTTTCTTTTTTATTTTTCTTTTTTTATTTTTCTTTTTTTATTTTTTTTTTTTTTGTAAAAAGCTTTATATTTGGGAAGTTAAATTTTTTATTGTAAATAGTTGGATAATGGCTTTAGTTATTGTGCTAATTCCGATCGTGTCTCAAAACTGACTGTCAAAGTTATGATTTATTATAAGTTTGGGAAGTTGAAATTTATTTTTACTGTAAATAGTAGGACAATGGCTTTATTTATTGTACTAGTTCCGATCGTATTTCAAAGGTGATTTTTGAAGTTATGATTTATTATAATTTTTCCAAAAATTCCTGTTTTTTCCTTTATTTTTTTTTATGACTCCATATATTTAGAAAGTTGAAATTTTTACTGTAAATATTAGGACAATGAACTTATTTATTGTATTAGTTCCGATCGTCTCTCAAAGCTTAATTTTTAAGTTATGATTTCTTATAATTTTTCCAGAAATTCTTTTTTTATTTTTATTTTTTGTTTTTCATATGACGCCATAATTTTGGGAATTTAAAATTTTTAAAGCCTATTAAAACAATTTTAAACGCCACTAATTTCATTTTATTGGTTATTATAAACTAACACTTATGTACATTTTTATAAAAATAATTTAAACCGTTCTAGAGTAAGAGCAAAAATTCACTTCTGAAATTTCTACTTTAACACCTTGTAAATTTTTTGCTTATTTTTTTTGTGTAAGCAGGTTACTTTAAATAGGCTTATCTTCGATCCCAGAAACTGTAGTTAAATAAACGGAACAACTTTTTGTTACACCCTGCATAAATAATGAAGATATCCTAATTTTAACAAACAACGTGATCGCATGGACATCAGCCTCGTATTCTGATGTTTAAAAATAGTAGTGCTATGAGAATTGGACTTGTTGGTGGAGGATGAAAGCTAGAAATGGAAGCTGACTACTGGAGCTATTTTCACACAAGTAAGAAGTTTAAATTACATTCGAAAATATTACAATCTTACAATAATATGAATGTGAATAAAGTTTGACATGAACCTTTAACTTCATAACTTTGCCTAATTACCTATTTTGTGTACATATTTTAATACTTTTTTATTAAATATACTTTTTTCAGCTGAAGTATTAAAAATATATAATAATAAAAAATGAATCCTTTTACTTGTTTTATAAATCCATCTTTTATAAAAACCAAAAAATATATTTTGTAATCAAAAATGATACTGTCAATATAAGCAAAATCGCCCTTTAGTTCATATATTAGTTGTTGTTGTTGTTGTTGTTGTTGTTGTTGTTGTTGTTGTTGTTGTTGTTGTTGTTGTTGTTGTTGTTGTTGTTGTTGTTGTTGTTGTTGTTGTTGTTGTTGTTGTTGTTGTTGTTGTTGTTGTTGTTGTTGTTGTTGTTGTTGTTGTTGTTGTTGTTGTTGTTGTTGTTGTTGTTGTTGTTGTTGTTGTTGTTGTTGTTGTTGTTGTTGTTGTTGTTGTTGTTGTTGTTGTTGTTGTTGTTGTTGTTGTTGTTGTTGTTGTTGTTGTTGTTGTTGTTGTTGTTGTTGTTGTTGTTGTTGTTGTTGTTGTTGTTGTTGTTGTTGTTGTTGTTGTTGTTGTTGTTGTTGTTGTTGTTGTTGTTGTTGTTGTTGTTGTTGTTGTTGTTGTTGTTGTTGTTGTTGTTGTTGTTGTTGTTGTTGTTGTTGTTGTTGTTGTTGTTGTTGTTGTTGTTGTTGTTGTTGTTGTTGTTGTTGTTGTTGTTGTTGTTGTTGTTGTTGTTGTTGTTGTTGTTGTTGTTGTTGTTGTTGTTGTTGTTGTTGTTGTTGTTGTTGTTGTTGTTGTTGTTGTTGTTGTTGTTGTTGTTGTTGTTGTTGTTGTTGTTGTTGTTGTTGTTGTTGTTGTTGTTGTTGTTGTTGTTGTTGTTGTTGTTGTTGTTGTTGTTGTTGTTGTTGTTGTTGTTGTTGTTGTTGTTGTTGTTGTTGTTGTTGTTGTTGTTGTTGTTGTTGTTGTTGTTGTTGTTGTTGTTGTTGTTGTTGTTGTTGTTGTTGTTGTTGTTG